CAGCTAGCAGAGTATCAGGAGAAGTCCAGCTGTCTTCAGCTACGCCTCACACAGGCTAAACAAAAAGAAACTACAGCTACACATCAGGTAATACATTTGGTCTGTAGCCTTGGAAGTAGCATGGGATTATCCTTAACCTAATTTGACATCGAGTTTATTTAGGAGTGCAAAACAGTCTCATCACATATTCTGTTTTTTTTCCTGCCTCCAGCTGAATATGATTGCATCACGACAGAGGAAAAGACCCATGGGCGACACAGAGACGATATGATGATATGGCAACTCCACCTCAAATAGCTTTTTTTTTTTTTTTTTTTTTTTTTGTGTAATACTAATTGTATTTGTATGTGTATGTTACATTTGGGAGATGATAGGTGATAGTCTAATGTTTACAGAATACATATTTGTAATGAAATTGTGAATTGAGTTATTCTTTTATATTTTTTAAAACATATATATATTATATATATATATATATATATATATATATATATATATATATATATATATGTATATATACACACACAATTAAATTGTATATATATATTTTTATGTCCTACCTTTTTATGATAACATTAAACCTTACATCTTTGTTCATGGTTTTGTCATACCTTTTCACCATTCGTGTTCACTGCCCAACGTGCCATTGTTTAGTTGCGTTGCACGCCGGGAAACCAGTTTGTTGCTAGGAAACCATCAACTTTACTACACGGCGTTCAGGGCAATGAAATGAACAGCGCAGCGCAACAACACACATCAAAGTTATTTTTTAGAAAGGTAAGAAGGACGTGTAAATGATTATTTCTTTCATCTGTGCTTTGTAGCGAAAAGGTTTGTCATGGGTGGCATGAGTACGTGCTGTCAATGTCCGGAGAACCTTTTTACTGTGTAACCCAGTTTGTGTAACCGTTGACTGTGTAACATTGCGGTGGTTCGGTCGTATCGCCCTTATTTACATAGATAAACTTCATTTTGAAGACGCAATGATTTATAAATGCAGCGGTTTATAATTAAATTATGAGATAAATGATGCGTTTGAAGCAGGATCCTGGTCCTGTTTTTAACCCTTGGCCCATCCAGTCCTAACCACACACTTACATCGTCCTTTTCATGTCAGGCCACTAACTCGGCCTATTTAAAGTTGGGGCGGGGCAGACTGAAGTTCCCTCGCACAGTAAGGTTCGCTTTGAGCTACATTCTTGCATCCTGCACTAAACTGATTAGCAGGCTAATAATTAATGGATAATTAAAGGCAGGTTACGTTTGTCTTGCCAGTGTTACAAAAAAGATGCGTGATGCCGTCACGTAGACCGATAGAGATCTGGGGAACTCTTGCGGCACAGGTGAGGACTTGCAAGTCATGACTTGGACTCGAATTCAGACTTGACTCACTATTTTTAGGACTTTAGACTTGACTAAAAATAAAATGAATTAAAGCCGCGCGGGGCGAGGGCCACGCACCGCCCCCCCCGGCGAATGCCGGGGACTCGCGACCGCCCCGACACACCGCTCTCTCTTCCCGACAGCTCCCGAGGCCAACAGCTCGTCCACCAGAAAAATGACATAGTGTACCTTTAAAATTGGATAAAGTGAATGATTCTAGAGACAAACTGTAGACACTAAGCCACAGGTCACGTGACTTTAATGGTCAAGAGCACTGTCACACTAAGACTAAGTGCATGAAAACACATCCTCCACCAGAAAAGTTACATAGTGTGCCTTTAAATTTCTCAGAAGTGAAATTATTCTAGAGGCCAAAGTGTCAAACTAGGGCATAGGTCTTACTGACTTTTATGATGAGGAGTACGTCAGTGAATGTTTTGGCAAAGTTTTACAAATGAATGTAAAACTAATTTTATGTCACACAATAATAAATTGTGTGCATTCATATAGGTGGCGCTGTATCCCTGATAACAGTATTTGACATATCAATGGAATAAGGGTCATGCAGTGTATAACTGATAGAAATGTCATCACAATCGGACAAAACATGTGCATATAATAATTTTTACAATATTTTTTGGGGGATTCTCTGTGCCCCTGCTGGCCAACCGTGAAAAATACACCATGACTGTAATAGACATTTTTGCTTATAATGTTGCAAAGAATTTATTCCCCGACTTTGGTCCAAGTCCGATTATATTGACATTTCATGTCTAAGGTAGGGGGCGCTATACTGTTGACTTTTCATATGTTTTATAGTTTATTATATTCAGACCAATATCCCGCATTAGTGATTCAAATTTCAGCACAATCGAACTAAGCATGTCCCTGTAATAATTTTAAAAATATTTTTTGGGGGATTCTTTGCGCCCCTACTGGCAAACCGTGAAAAATGCATCATGTCCGTAATAGCCTTTTTTGCTTGTAATCATGGGGAAAATTTTATTTCCGAATTTGGTCCAAATCCGATAATGTTGACGTTTCATGTCTATGCTAGGGGGCGCTATAGAGTCCGATCGATCTGGACCCCGGTTTGGGGACTTTTCGTCCATGTTCAGGGGGTCAAAAATGCGATTCAATGTGGGGAAAAATAAAAATAAGAAACTGACGAAGAACAATACCCCTCGCCCCTAACTTTGTTAGTGGCAAGGGCCAATAAACAAACGTAAGAAACCGGCGAAAAACAATACCCCTCGCCCCTAACTTTGTTAGTGGCGAGGGCCAACTAAGACTTGAGACTCGACTTGGACTTACCTGTATTTGACTTGGGACTTGAATTTGACTTCATGTCAAAGACTTGAGACTTACTTGAGCAATGACTTGGTCCCATCTCTGCTCTGTGGTAAGAACAATTAGCATCCTTTATTACAGCAAATTTTTATTCACAGTGCCTCAGACCACAGATGACTGCTCACTGATGACTTTTTGTCAGTGTTGGGAAAGTGACTTTTAAAATGTATTCCCCTACAGATTACAGATTACATCCCCCAAAATGTAGTTTGTAACGTAATCCATTAAATTACTTAAAGTGAGTAATGTAATCTGAATACTTTGGATTACTTGATATTGTCATGGATTTTAAAACGACATGAATGTACCAACCACATCCTGAAAATTCTTGTTTTTTCTCTTCAAATTGTCTGTTGAGCCCAAGTCTCCATGAACACACTTTTGTTTTACTGTAGAGAAACAAAGACGAGGATCTGAACATAAGATGTTTTGTTTTATCTGATAAAAGAAAATAAAAAGCCCAGTCTTTATTTAAACATATTAAAAATATTATTGATAGAGAAATGATTTTATATGAGATCACTGCTGCCTGAAATTATGTTCACACTACTGTTAGTGTCATATTGTTTAGACCTGGTTTAGACCTGGTTTAGACCTGGTTTAGACCTGGTTTAGTCCTGGTTTAGACCTGGTTTAGTCCTGGTTTTAGTCCTGGTTTTAGTCCTGGTTTAATCCTGGTTTTAGTTCTAGTTTAGTCCTGGTTTAGCCCAAAATGTGAAATCAGGAAAATATCGCCCTGTAATCCATTTATTTCAACAAAGTAGCTGTAATCCAATTACCACTCACTGAAACAGTAACTGTAACTGAATACAGTTACTCATAATTTGTACTCTGATTACGTAACTCCGGTACATGTAATCTGTTACTCCCCAACACAGCTTTTTGGTAACTCTGGCAAGTCAGTTCTAATCTATATTTTTAAATATCTTTTGGCCACATCTTAGCTGAACACCTGTAGATTATTCATGATTACTGTCTTGACCCACTGATGCACTCATTTCTCTTTTTTTCAATTAAAGGAGCCAATTGGCCAAGCTCCTGTAAAAACAAAGCAATATTCAAATAAAATGTTTTTATAGTTAAGATTTTTGAGAGGACAAAATGCATCCATCTGTCTTCATGCAGGTTATATTCAAAGGACAGAAACCATGTCTTTTCCTGGCAAGAACCTGAAGCCTGGCATGAAGCAGGGCATAAGTCATGAGGAGATTCTGAAAAAGATGTATGTTCCGGGATGGGACAGTGTGCGTCCTTCACAACAAGCACAGGCTCAGGCTGAGGCCATAGCCAAAGAGAGGGAAAGGATGGAGCAATTTGGGGAGAAGGCACGCCAAATGCGACTGCTCTCCAAGAAAAATGAAGGTTCTGCCCCCGTCCGCTCCAGCATCCTCCCACCCCTGCCAGCAGCCGACAGAAAACGTACATACATCACAGACCCCAGTGTCTCTCAATCGCCCAGGCTCAGACAGCAAGTCCAAAGGTAAGTCAGCTTATTGTATTTTATCATAAAACACTGCTCCTTCATAATCAGTCTTTTTCGTAACACTTTGCTACACCAATTAGGCTTATTTTAGCATAAAGAAAGACTTAATTCATAATAAACAAATAGTATGAATGATTTAGGCATAGTAACTCATAGGGGTGTGCAAAAATATCGGAATATTGATATATTGTATCGTTTAATGTGATGATACAGTATCGATATCATGGGTTACTGTATCGATATATCACCAAGAGTATTTTTAGGTGTGTTTTACTAAATTATTTTGTTACAGAGCTACAGTTTTGTTGCTTGTGGAGTGAAAGGAAACTCATTCATTCAACACATTTGATATTTTTACTGTTTTGATGATTAAAATGTTTATATGAACTTTGCACAAAAAGTGGTTTAACAAAGACTCTTAGTGTCACAGTCACGATTTAGCCTTTATTTTTTATTGAACCGTATTGAATCGATTTGAAATATATCATATTGAATCGAAAGTGCAGTGTATCGAGATATGTATCGTATCGTGGCCTGTGTATCGAGGATGTATCGTATCGGCAACTTCTTAATAATATCCAGCCCTAGTAACTCAGTTATTCCTAATAGCCTAAGTCCTAACCCCTTGATTAAGTAATGACTAAGCCTGAATGATTCTTCATAAAATACTGATAGCTATTTCTTCATTATGATTTTTTTTTTTTTTTCATGCTTTATTAAGGCTAATGAAGGCGTAGGTATTATAGGTGTAATTATCTTTTTTTTGTGTGTGGCAAACAGAACCTCCAGTGAAACAACATCGAATAGCATCTTTACGACCTCCTGCACGACTACCTTCACCGCCGTCACATTCAAAGGTCAGGGATGAAAGTAAATCTAGTACTTTATTTATTAATTTATTTACACATTTATAACACAAAATTAATGAGGATTTTAATTTGCTTTTCCTTTTTCTCTTTCCAATGCCATTCAGTCCAAGTCAGGTACAAATAGAATAGCTTCTGTGCCCCCGAGATGGCCATTTCCAATTGGAAAGATGGATCCTAGTTCTGAACCCATCATGCATGTCTACAGTAAAGACGAGTATTTGCTAATCAGCCACAAGGGTGTGCTTTCTGTGTGTGGAAACAAAAGTGACTTAACATCTCTTGAGCGCTGGGAAGAAGAATACAACTCATACTGCAAGCTGATCCAAATCCCCTTCTTTGCCAATTTCAAATTGTTAAAGCCGTTCTATATTTGGCGCCACAAAGTCACTAAGAAGAAGATACATTTAGCTCAAGAACATCTGAGAAACAATTTATTCTTTACTGATCCGGTTTGTAATGAAATGATACATTACCACATGAGTTTAACAATTTGCTCTATTAATATAATTTTTGGTTTGTGTATCATTATAGTCTCTTGGTCCAGCTCTACTAGACATCAAGAAACTATGCATAGAGATTGATACCACAGGCCTGTTTCGCCTGGATAAAAAACGGACCTACACTCTGAAAGAGTTTCAGGATTTTCATTTTGAACAGCTACAAGAGGTACAATCACAATGTCTGGTGCATAATAGAAATGACTTCCAAAATTCGTATACTGTACTATGTGTGTGTGTTTTAAGGTGCACAATGATCTGGATAATTTTCATGGGTTGGTAAAGGAGCTGGCCATAAGTGCTTGTCGAAACGCTTTCCTACAGCTGAAGCCTTGTGGTAAATATGGTGTGTAAGCTCATTTGAATGTGTGAGGTTGACAAAGATAAGGCTTGCTCTGTAAATCTATGATTATATTTTGCAGAGGAAGAAAATTATGAGAGAAGACGAGATTCTCTCACAAAACGGTTACAAGGGTAAATATTGTTTGAGCTTTCCCTCATATTAGATACGCTTTTTAAAAAAGCACATTTACTTAATGTTTTCAGTATTATAGGTGTTCTATTATGTACTTTTGTTTTCTTTCCAGTTTTATCCGTCTTATTGACTTCATAATTACCAACACACTGCATATGTTGGTGCTACATGGTGTGGAGAAAATATTGATGGCATTTCAGGAGCAAGTTGAAAAAAACACCAGATTCTTCTCAAATGCAAAACTGGGACATACAGGCCAATGGTGCAACGGGGCCTGCAGCAAATGAGGATAAGAATAACACAGTATGATACTACCATGTTAATGTGAAGTTAATGTTAGTACTTTGTTCTCTATCCAAGTAATCTCCTGTCTTCATCAGGCTGTTGAAGCTGTCCAAGGCCAACCTATTTTCATCACAGAACTCAAACTTTCTGAGGATATGTTGCATTATGCCCCATCAGAGGAAAAATTTCAGGTACATTAATACATAGTCATTTTTTATTTGAATACCACCCATGTGTAACCTATTATTCTATCAAAAGAGGGCTATTGAGGAGCTGACTGAGCAGTTTAAAGAGACTGTATTATCTGTGCATGCCCTTATGTCCGATCAAGACTTGGATGAATTCATAAACCTGACAGAAGAAAATAAGGTTAAAATTGCTCATACTTCCTACATTATATAACATTCAGGCTTGCTGTTTTAGATTAGACATTTTCATGCTAATTATATATAACTGTTTAGGATGAAAAGGGACAACCATGTCTTGAAGCCCTTCTATACAGTGATAGTCACCTTCAACAGGCTATGTCAGAAATCAAGGTGCAGTTTCTATATCTATTAATTATAATTGTATAAATGTATTTTATAATGTGAATATTAACATAATCATACTTTGCTGTTCTGTTTGACGTTTAGACAGCAATTCACTTTGCTTTTGATACCGCAAGTGTATATGCTCACACATTTGAGCATTTTCGGACATTCTACAAGGAAAACAAAAATTTAGATGTTCAAGCATTACAACAAAAAGAACATGGTAAAAGCCTAACTAATCCTTGTTGTCAGTCAATCTTTACAAAACCTTATTATGACTTTTTCTCTTTTTAGGTTTTCTGTTTTTTGAAAAGGCATTAGCTCTATATCACAATCAGCACAATGAAGCCTTAACTATTCCACAGAAGAGGAGCCTTGGCTTACTTCTTGTTGAACAAACAGAACTCAAACAGAAACTTGTGCAGTCCCCTCTTAATTGTTTAGAGGTCAGAAGTAGAGCATATTATGAGCCTGTTCATAGTAATCACAATTCTTTTTTGCAAAGTGTGTGCAACAGTTATTTCTGGTTTTAGGTCATCAATGGGCTCCTGACGCGACTTGCTAAGCACAAGGTCGACGCTGTTCTTAAAGAGACTAATGACGCCGAAATTAACCTGCGAGTTAGTCCATCAACCACGGCTGAATTAGCCAATTACCTTATTTTCTTGGAACAAATACAAGAGAGAGTAAGTAATTAACTTCCTCAGTATAATCATCTTTTTTTTTTTTTTTTTATAACAATAGCAAAAGTGTTACCATGGTCTTTCACCAGATCCATAGATTAACAGAAGAGGAAGAAGCAATCAGTCAGCTGTTTAATCTAATTGGCAATTACTCAGTTCCAACACCACCTGAAGATGCCTCATTGTTTGCCTCATTAAAACCTGCTATTAGCTTATTGGAAGTTAACATTCTTGATGCATCTTTGGCCGTAAAGGACATAACAAAAAAATTCAATTCTTCACTAAAGAAAGATATGAACGATCTGAAACAAAAAATTATGGAACTTGATCATAAATCACAGGTATTTACAATATTTTTTATTGTAAGCCTTTTGACATATTTTGATCTTAACTTTTAAAAAAAATATTTTATTTGAATTTTCAGGACAAACAAATACTGGATATCAATGCAGACCCTGCGAAAGTACGACTGCTTTTGGGTGAAATCCAGATTTCTGTCGATGAGCTTTGTGCCCAGGCAGCCACTTATATGTCCTATCAGAAAAGATTTAATGTAAAAATATATATTTTGTTATTATCTGAACCATGCCAGCTGACAAAACCACTGAACCTCTCTTTATGAACGAATAGGTGGAGGTGAAGTTTGAGTCTTTGAAAATGTTGACCACAAAAGTTCAACTGAAGCAGCTGCTGTGGGATTCTTTGGAGGAATGGGACACTTTACAGGAAAAATGGCGAAAGGTATGGAACAACATATTAAATATGTTACATATAACAAATATCATTGCATTACTACACTGTAAATGTATTAGAATTATTTTATTTATTTGCATATGAACTTTTTTTTTTTTGCATCAAAACTTTGAAACACTTGTCACTGTTCACACCCAGAGTTTGCTTTCGAAGCTGGACCTGGAGATGTTAGCAGCACAAGTTACTAAATACTCTAAATATGCAAACCAAATGGAGAAGGGGCTGCCATGTAACAATTTAGTGCCAAGTTTTAAGAAGAAAGTGGAACTGATGAAGTGTAGGGTAAGTTTAACATGATGTGATTAACAACATGTTATTGGAAATCTAACAAAATCTTATGTCTGTGTTTTAGCTTCCTGTGATAACTGATCTCCGTAACCCATGTATAAAACCTGAACATTGGGAAACTCTGGGGTATATGGTGGGACAAAATCTGGAGGTGGAGAAGCTTACTATTGCAGAATTAGAGGAGCTTGATCTATTCAGCTATGGGCCAGAGATCCAAGAGGTAATGCATTTTACATCATTTTATTTTACTTTGATTTTCCTGAAGCCCAAAATCATTCTGGACTACTTAACAACACTACCGCTCCAAAAACTGATTCCTTTATTTTATTTTCAGATTTCAGGACAAGCTTCAGGAGAGGCCTCTGTTGAGACACTAATTAAAAAGGTATGGATATTCCCCCATTATTTCCTCCATTCAGTACATTTTACTTATGTCTTAATGAATAACTACAGGTGGAGGATATTTGGAAAACTACAGAATTCACTGTTCTGTCTCATGGCGACTCCAAAGAAGTTTTTATCTTGGGTGGAACTGATGAAATACAGGTACGTGCACAAGCATTATCTTATAATTTAAAACAAAATGGCATTTTCTATGTGTTTCTTTTGTATTTTAAAGATGGCCCTGGATGACAGCATTATCAATGTTGGGACAGTTGCATCATCTCGTTATGTGACTCGTATCAAGTCCAGGGTGGATGAGTTGCTGAGACAGTTGCATCTTTTCAATCAAACATTGGTAAAATCAATTAGATCTAACATGTTCAATCTGAAGATTCATTTTTGTTATTTTTAAATGAGATGTATACAGAGAGTCCAATATATCTCTGGTTGTATTCTACAGTAAAAAAAAAATCCACGCCTTGTCCCAGTTATTCTCCACTATACCTAACTTCTAAAATGTTTTCAGGATGAGTGGCTCACATGCCAAAGAAATTGGCTGTATCTGGAGAGTATATTTTTTGACCCAGACATAAAGAGGCAGCTTCCTGCAGAATCGAAGATGTTTCTCAAAGTGGACAAGTCTTGGAAGATGATTATGTCAAGGGTAAAAATAATGCGTAATGCTCTGAGAGAGCAGCGACTCAGCCTCGTGAGTAACTGTTAGGAGTATATAATAATTTAGTGCAAAAGGTTAAAGCTGACAAAACTTAATTTATTTTTTACAAAGATCTACTAGAGACGTTTAAGAGCAACAATGCCCTTTTGGATGAGATACATAAATGTCTTGAGGCTTATCTTGACTCTAAGAGAGTAATTTTCCCAAGGTACAGTATTATTATTATTGTATTATTATATTATAATGTGGACCTATTTAATATATTTTCATTGCAGGTTTTATTTCTTATCTAATGATGAGCTGCTTAAGATTCTGGCCCAGACAAGAAATCCTCAAGCAGTGCAGCCCCATCTTAGGAAATGTTTTGATTCCATTACACGGCTAGAGTTTGCCCTGTTGCCTGAAAAGTCTCGAGATGCCACAGAGGGTGACGTTGATCCTCAGCAAGACACAATTTATAGCAAAGACATCCTGAAAATGGTCTCTCCAGAGGGTGAAAAGGTCAATTATGAAACACAAACAAACAACCACAAAAACAATCAAATTATCTTAGGTGTTGCCTGTAAATGTGTTTTGTTAATTCATGAGTTCTGTGTCTTCATTCCAGGTGTCATTAACTAAGGGTCTTAAGGCTCAGGGGAATGTAGAAGATTGGCTGTGTAAGGTGGAGGAGGCCATGTTTGTATCACTGCAGCATCTCAGCAAAGCCGCCATAGCAGATTACCAGGTCAAGTCCAGAGAGGAATGGGTCGTGGCTGGACATCCGTCACAGGTAAAGCAACACAAGACTTTCACTGACTCTGCTGAACCTGAATGGGGGAAAGTAAATGTCTTTTTGTTTTATATATATATATATATATTATTTTTGGATGAAAATAAAAGTACATATCTTACCCGTGTTAAGAATATGATTTGTGCATTTGTTTGTATACTTGTATCTGTATCATTCACATCAATATTTTATAATGATGTGTAGGGTTTTCATCTCTTTGTGTTTTTGTGATTTGTCCAATAGGTGGTGCTGACGATCTCCCAGATGATGTGGTGCAGAGATATGGATGCCTGCCTTGAAGGGGACCATGACCACTGTGTTGCATTACAGCAGTTTGAACAAACCAACGTTAATGTAAGTTTCTTCAGTGTGTTCTTCCTTATTTC